GACAGGTGTACCTAATAAAGTGGCCGGTGAGTGTATATATCCTGAACAGAGCAGAACAGAGGTCCCACCTTAAACATGTCCTCCCAAGGAAGAAGAAAAAACTTTGTTCCGAAAAATTTATTGAGAGACCAGCTAACCAAGTCCATAAAATAACCATAATTTCTGGTTTTGGATGAAAAATGTAGAGAAGGCTCCAAGCAGTGAAGCAGAGAAGATAAGGAAGGGCAGGAGAGAAGGAAGAAGCATCTCACTCCTCCGTAAGCAGAAACAAAAAAAAAATATGACTACAATGAAAAGACTATAATTCAGACATTTTTACATTTATTAAACTGAAGTCTTGTGTGGTAGTAGCTGGAAGTCATTCACAACAAATACACTGAGCACTGACACTATCACACTATAACAAATTAGCTTTTTTGCTACTTTCAGCTTTCATCAATCATTATGCTTCCTATAGTTAGCTTACTGATGTGTTTAGCTTTTAGTTAGTGTTTTATTGCTTTCATGTAGCATTTTACTACTTTAAGCTTTTAGCTAGCATTTTGTATTATTTCAATTTCAGGTGCTTTAGTAAATTTCAGTTTCAGCTTGAACAGCTCTCAGTTTATATACATATATTTTTAGGTTTTTGTATTTCTTCCTGTCCTTCCCACAGCGCAGGTGAAGGAAGGTGAGGTAGTACTGGTTCACGCTGCAGCCAGCGGTGTGGGCACAGCTGCCATCCAGTTGGCTCGTCTGCTCGGTGCCGTGCCCATCGTCACCGCAGGGAGCCCAGAGAAGCTGAGGCTGGCTGAGAAACTGGGAGCAGCAGCTGGATTCAACCACAGGGAGGAGAACTTTGTGGCAGGAGTTCAAGACTTCACAGGAGGTATATGCATCTTTCTAGCTAGCATCACACTGTGGGACAATTTTATTTTACACCATTAAAATTCAATATAGAAACACAAGAACTGTGAGTTGCTGGTGCCAAATCAACGCCTCACCATYCTGGAGCCATGAAAGTCCTAACTTTCCTGAATCTTGATATTGTAGTGTATTTTTTTCAAATACAGACTTAGACTTATAATGATTTAGTTTTAGTTTTTTGAAATTTTAAAGAGTGAAGTCCTAGTTCCAATACAAAAATCACCCAAAAAAGATGTTTCAAATGATGAGAGGCTTTGATGCAAGTTTTTAAAAGGTTTATTTTATGTCCCCAAAACAGCTGACATGACACAAACCTTTGAGTCAAGGCCATTGATGAATATTACTGGATTGGGCGTCACGTGACCTGGGCGTGGCTTCGCAAGGGGGATTTTTATGCATTGAGCTAATGCTAACGCTAACCATTGAAATCAATTAGCAGAATGTACCGCGGTGCAAACAAACTCTTTATAAACGTTCAAATGGTACAAATACTTTGCTATGAACTGCAGAAATTGTTACATGTTTACAAGAGCCAGGGGCCGACTGGGGCAAAAAAGTGGCCCGGGAATTTAGTACCTGACTGGCCCATTCAAGGTCCGGGCTGGCAGATGATGTCTGCAAATGCTGGAGGCCGACGGTGGAGGCAGAAACAACAAACAACATCTCAGGACACTGTACAAAATCTAAGGATGTAATGTTGAGGAATTAGTAAAGTTAATAAGTTTGCAGAGCAGCAGTTAGCTCGGTCAGTGTATCTTTTGGTCATTGGATTTTCATTTTTGAAACGGGTATTAAAAAACAAGAAATGATTGGATATTTGATATCTGTTTTTATTAAAATACTGAAATTAAAATACGAAGCGTTTCTCATTCTTAGTGTCAAAGTGGGATAAACAAAATTTTAAAAATGATTTGAGTTTCATTTTCATGCATATATATATAAATATATATATATACACTCACCAGCCACTTTATTAGGTACACCTGTCCAACTGCTCGTTAACAC